CAGTATATTATCATGTAATTGGCAAATCATTTGATATTAGATGAAAATGAAATTCATTTATAAGTGGTCAAATTTTATAGCCTGAAGTGCAAACATTTTCTTTAAATTGTGCAGTTATTTGCATATTGCATCTTTGTATATTTTATTTATTATTTTTTTTTTTTTATTATCAAATACCGGTATACATTATGTTGGAATGTTTTCTTCCAAGTGTTTTAAAATTGATTACCGTATGCGGTTACTGGTTCATTTTTTTTTTTTTATTTTTTTTTGCTGGAGATGGTTCGTTTCGGGAGATTCTTGCTTGCTTGTGGGAATGCGGAAGGCCATCCCGCCGATTTCCAGGAGACTCCATTGCTGGATAATTGGGACTCCTGGGCTCTAAAATGGTCCTTACATTAATTAAAACATTTCAGGGTAGCCAGGCATCAACTTGTTTTTCCATTAAAATAACATTGACACTAACATTAGGCTTATCATTATTCAATACACACAAAACACTGTACACAAAACAGCGCATTGGCTAATATTTCTATGTGTAAGTCATATATATCATAATGTATTATAGAAAGAAATGCATTAACATCACTATTTGTTTTATAGTGGTCTTTATTTGGAGAAAAAAAAATCAGTTGGGTCAGCCAAAACCATGGTCTTTGGTCTCTAAATAGAGGGAATCTAATGATAAAAGATAAAGATAAGCATTCATAGTGGGGCGGATATGTGACTGGGGCGTGCACTTCTGGAAAAAAGCATGAAAGTTTGTCCTAAGGGGTTTTTTGAGTATGCCAATTCCAAAAATTGCGGGAACCACAATGTCACTCTAACCGTTCCCGCCGAAAATGGGAAAAATCAAAATGGCCACTAAAAAACAAAATTTTGGCAGTTTAAATCTTAAAGTGCCCACATTACCATGATCTTGGTGTCGATAATCATGTTCGTTAGTTCAAGGATAATTTTTGGAATCAGCATACTCAAAAACCCCCTAAGACAAAGTTTCATGCTTCTTTCCAGAAGTGCACGGCTTGACCAAAAAATGTCACATATCCGCCCCACTATCAACCGGGGCCGCAGAAATGGAGACGGTGTTCGAACTTCAGACTTATGTAAAAAAAAAAATAAAAGATTAAAAATAAAAGATTTTTGATCAATGTACTAAATTCAATTGTTATTGCTTCTTCGGCAACCATGGGCTATTATCCACACGTAACCTACTACAAATGAATAAGGAAACATGGTGCTATGAAATATAGACAAATTCAACTACTTTGTGGTTTTTGAGGCGAGTGGAATAGTCTTTTTTTTTTATTACCTAACACTATATAAATACGGAACTGTATAATATAATGTACATTGAACTCAAACATTGCAGTAGAGATTTAAAAAAAAGTATGCATAAATTCTTGTTTCTAAATAAGGAAACGATTCGAAATTCGAACAAGGAAACGGAAGAGTTAATCCGGTTACATCCAAGTGCAGTAAAGGAGCTGCTATAATTGAAAAACAATATTCTTCATATCAGGTACGTAAATAATAACCGTGCTTGTCTAATATGTTTGTGTAATTATGAAAATCTGACCCATACCTTTGCGAGGGTCATTTGTTATAATATTTTATTTAATCATAAAGAATGGAACTAAAGCAAAAACTATGAAACTATAACATTGTGTATTCAATGCATTTGTTTGTATTATTATTCCTCAATAAATCAATTATCGATTACGTCTTGAAAGATAAAGATAAGCCTACCGTCTTTGGTAAAATCAGGGAAACTTTAAAAGTATTGGCCAATTTTAATTATAGATTTGCTCAGAGCCATATTAACACAAAAAAGATCAAAACTGTTAAGCTGTCATTTATTTATATTTTAACCAATTAGGCATAATGAAATTAATTTCAAAACGGCATTAAAAACGTTACATAATTGGATACATAATATTTCGTTCTTAATTTTAAGTTGATAGCTAATAATAACTTAACTTTGTGTAAAAATGTTTATATTAAATTAGTTCCTTTTTATTTAAATCAACATAGTAGGCCTATATTTTGAAATGGGGCAAACGTACGGTAATGTTTTATTTGAAGTAAGCCTACATTGCAAGTACATTACGAAATATAAAACTGAAACTACTATTTCACATTTCACTAACAATAGACATAGCATTTAAAGTAGCTCTACTAATGACGATTGTGATGAGGGACATATTAACACTAATTAACGATTTGAATAAAAGAAATAACAGGGTACTTTAGGTAGTATTATATCATTTTACTCATCTTTATTGCAACATTTGATCGGTTCGATTTAATATTCCTGCATTCAAACGCATAAGTATCCAACTTCAGTAAGCAAGCTTAGCATAATATAGTTTACTAGCAAACTTAATGTATACAACTACGAAAAGAATGCTTAGTCCTTTCAGAACTTGCTCCAATAAAGGCCTAATATACCATTTATATGTAGAATAAACATACTGAGTGGGAAAGGACATCTTATAGTGTTTTTTGTTTGTTTTTTTTTTATAATTTTTTTTTTCCAGACAATATGCAACACGATTGTCGGAGAATACGCTATAGGCCTAGGCTAACATATTAACGACCTATTAAATTATTTCATACTATATCGCTCTATGACCAGATTTTTTTTCCAAGTACGGTAATGTATTACAGAAGATGTTATTATAACCTACTAAAACGGGACATATTGTAATTATTTTACATGCTAATCGACTTAAGTGGTAGACCTACCGTATCTCTTATTGCGGGGAGGTCATTGAACACGACACTAGAGTTCAATCGTAGCTTAAAAATGCTAATCTAATATTTTTGCAAAAATCAACTGTGTTTATATCCAATTTAAAAATTGCAATTCCTATTAGTATGCCTACCATGAAATGGCGTGTTATCTACGAAGGAATAATTTTGTAAATATTATCATTTACAATTCGACTAACTTTCAGAAACCTAGGATTTTTTAAGATAACCAATTTCCTTTCTGGCGATTGCAAATGCCCTGACGGAATAGGAAGTTTTAATGACAAAGGTGAAGGGTCAGGTTCCAAAGTGACTAGAAGGTTTAGCTCCGGAAACTCGCTTCCTAATGATAAGGGCATTTGGAAGATACAATGCCCGGTGTTTTCGTATTTCTTCATTTGCAATTCAGGACGTAAGATGTCCTTTTGTGAATCCCTACGCATATGCATCTCTATTAACTTCATCAGGCACATCAACCCAATGTTTCGTGTGTATATAAGCATACTCCTTTTGTTCTTTGCAGGTAAGCACATGTTTAGTCATGTTAGAAATACCTCTTACGCTTCTTCAAATAATATTTATACTATGCCAATGGCAGTAGACTTCTTTGAACACGTAATGTAAAATCCATCGCTGTATTTCATGAAAATGCATTACTTTCTAATGCCGCGCTAAAACTTGGCCCTGGGCTGTCAGCATTCCTAATTTGACGTGTATTATTGTTGCATAAAAATGACACACGCGACTGTAGGTCAAGAAAGTTCGTAAGTTTGAAATCTCGAGCCATACTTTTATTTTTGTCTTTAAAAATCTTATAAAAATGTATTTTTTTTAGTTAGAATTGCTTTGCGGTATTTTT